ATTTTTTGATAATTTTATGCAACACAAATCTAATGAATTATAAATCTCCTACCAGAATATATAATAAGGAATATGATGGGAATCCTAACCAAAGTAATGATAGTAAATAAAATAGAAAAAGTATGATAACAACATATGAAGAAATATGAAAAACTAGAATAATTTAGATGAAAAACTAGAATAATTTAGTAAATTCCTATTACTCATATTATCTTCTGCAAGCTGATCATCGATAATTAGTGGTAGCTTGGAGAGTACAGGTATTGAAATAGAGTTGGTGGATGCAGTTTGCATTGGTAAAAATGGCGGCTAGAAGGAGATAGATAATTAGATATGCAGATCTTCGCTCCATGATAAACAAGCTTGATAGTCCATTTGGGGTAGGAACAATCTATTTTACGAAATGAGCCCCGTAGGCATGGGTGGCCCAGAGGGTGAGATTTTTATTTATCTATGTTTGAGACATACTTTCATCTAATAAGTCCAATATCAAATTATAAGATGACCAGTTTGGCTATTATGAAGTACTCCCTCCGTCCCACTATATTTGTACACTTTCATTTTTGCACATCATCCAATACACTTCTTTAATCTATTTTATCTTGTAATTTGTATATTAAAAAATTATAGAAAGTATATATTAATAATCTATATGTTAAGACAAATCGAACAAGATCACACATGACTATATTTAGGCTTACACATTGAGAGAATTTGATGAATCAAAGTGCTTAGATGAACAGTTCCAAAAGTTAAAAGTGGACAAAAACTGGGGGACGGAGGGAGTAGTAGTATATGTGTCTAAAATAGGCTTTTATTTAGTGCTTAATGTCAAAAAATAGGACCCCTTTTAAAAATACTCTCTCACTTCTAAAATATTCAATCTAGTTTGATTTTTCCTAATCAAGTTTAAGGAAATTAATCATTAATTACATATTAAATTTGAATTTTATATAAGTACAATGTGATAATTTTTTGATAATTTTATGCAACATAAATCTAATGAAATTATATTTGTGAGGATAATAATTAGTCTTATTGAATTATAAATGTCTTACCAGAATATATATAAGGAATACGTTGGGATTCCTAACCAAAGGAATGATAGTATATAAAATAGAAAAAGTATGATAAACTAGAATAATTTAGTAAATTCTTATGACTCTTATTATCTCCTGCAAGCTGATCATCGATAATAGGGGTAGCATTTCTTCTTGGTGATGTCTAATAATTTAAAATTTACTGAGTAGCATTTTTTGAAGGAATTTATTGGGTAACATTCTTTCAGCTTGGAAGACAAAAAATAATAATGATTTTTTTATAGACGCCCTCCAAATTCAAAAATATATAAAAAAATCCTCTATCTCTTTATTTTTAAAATTCAAAAAACAACCTTTTTGGGACATCTAAAAAATAACTTTTTTGAATATCTAAAATATGAATTTTTTGGATGTGCTGAAAAGAATCTTAAGAGCACACTGTATGTTTACGTACATTTTCTCTAAATGTATTTTTTGTACAATTTATATCTCTTCATTTTTTTCATTCCCTTTTTTGTTTTTGTTTGATTTTGATTTTTCCTGTTTTTGTTTTTAACCAAAACCAAAAGCCAAACGAAAAGTTAAAGTTTGATTTGGTTCGATTTCACGAAAAATATGTGAACCCTTGGTTTATCGATTTGGTTTTTGGCGGTTCATGTTTTACACTCCTTTTTTTGTTTTATTTTTTAGATACTTTTTTATATAAAAGGTAAAGTGTGTTGAGAATAATTGAGAAAACGTTGTTTTATACAACAACAACTTTAAAGTACCTACATGTAAATACTTCCTCCTTCCTAAAATGAATTACACTCTTTACAATTCAATAATCACAAAAACTTTTGTTTATTTATGCATTTTGATTGATTATGTGATAAAAAATATATTATATACCAATCTTTAAATAAAATGAATTAAAAAAATTGAAATTTCATTTCATTTTACGTAAAGTTGAAATAAAATTAATTTTTTTAGAGCCAACTAAAATATTTTAATATTATTAGCGTGTACTTCGTAAAAGATCATTCTAAAGAAATTGTTCAACTAAATATTAAATAGAAAAGTGCGGGTATCGATTACCCCTGAACTCTTTAGAAATTGCATGATTAGGTTTATTCCTAAACATTCAAAAATGCATCAAATACCTCTAACTAATTTAAAACGTTACAATGTTGGTCCCTTTTGATACATTTGAAAAAATAATACTCCGTGTTAAACACCAGGGCCGGCCCCGAAAAATAAAAAAATAAAATTGGCCCGGTCCAAAATTTCCATTTTGTGCTCTATTTTATATTTTTAGAATACTTTTGCTTTAAAATTATTAACAAATTTAAAAATATGGTGCCCTAAATTTTGAGGTGCCCTGTGCAGTTGGCCACTTTGCACACCCTCTGGGCCTCCCATGTTAAACACTAAGTGTAAAGGCTAAAGTCTAAACTGCCCCCATCCAACTATTTGGCCCAAACTTCGGTCAGTTGCTTCGTGCTGCGTGCATGCAGCCGCCGCCGGCATTGGTAGAGTGGAATTAAACGGCTGAAAATTAAACGGCGATTAGTCTTTTTCCGTGGGTTTGACTTTACTGCAATTAGGTAGAGGTTGTTTTAGGTTGTGACTTTTTATCAATGTTTGAGACAATACATTTCTCTAATAAGTCCAATATCAAATTATTGTCCTCAAAGACAAACCAGCAATTTTCTCTTCTAGTTCACCACTTATGGTGGTAGGTTTGAGTACAATGTAACATATCTCCTCTATCTCGGAGTATTTATCCACTATTGACTTTTTTCGATCAAAATTATTAAAATTTGACTCTAAATTAAATAAAAATGATATTAAACATTAATACAAAATAGTTTTATTAGATTCATTATAAAAAAATATTTTTAAAAGATTATTTAATTTAATTAATATACAATATATATTTTATTTAATTATAGGTTAAAAATGAAAATATTTGACCAAAAAAGTCAAAACTGAACAAATACTCTAGGACAAAGGTAGTGTATGTCTAGAATAGGCAAAATATTTAGTGCTTGCAAGTGAATCTTTTTTTTGTGAAAGGCTCAATCCTTTAATTATGATTCGCCTTAGGACTCGTAAGAATTTGCCTTAAAAAATACCATTCCTTCACCCGTAGAATCTTCATTAGTTTAACTTTTTTTTTGGCAAATTTAAGGAAATAACCATTAATTACATTAAATTTGCAATCCATATTGGTACAAGGAACATGATAAATTTTTGATACTCCTTCTGTCCCAAAATATTTGTCACATTTGCTTTTTCAGCAGTCGCAAGAACTTTTGTTTATTTCTACGTTTTAATTGGTTATTTGATAAAATAAAAATATTCTTGACACTTCTTATTTCAAAGAACTTTTCATGTAGTTTTTTTGATATGTAAATTTTTTTTATTTCTATACTAATATATAATTAAAATGAATTGAAAAAAAAATTAATATTTTGTCTCGGGAATACAAGTGTGGCAAATCTAATGAAATTTATTTGTGATGCATGTAATTGAAGTTTTATTGAATTATTAAGTTTCTACCATCCATTTTTTTATTTGAAACAAACCATCCAGTACATTAGTATATATAGGGAATACATTGGGATTCCTAACTAAAGTAGGAACATAAATAAAGTAGAAAAAGTAAATATGATAAGAACATACGTACGAGTAAAATGAAAAACTTGAATAATTTAGTAATTTCCTATAGCTCAGTTTGGGGTGTGCATCGGTCCAAATCCGACCAGACCAGCCAGCCCGAACTGTAACTGAATAAGGCACTTTTCTTGGGCCGGAGGCCAACCCGAATAAGATAATGATCGGCCCGGGACCAGACCGGTAAAACTCGGACCGGATCAAATTAGGCTTTTTATTACTTCTTATTTTTTTAAAAAAATCAATTTTATCTATTTGAATTAACAATCCACTTGTAAAAAAAGTATAAATATTACTAATTTATAATTACCATTACTTAAAAATTAAATTTTTTAACATAGTATCAACACAATAATTAAATCATTCATGTCGTTTAAAAAGTAAACTTAAAAGTCAACAATAATACTACTGAAATTCTTCGTACAATACTAGATGTCTGGATGAGGACAAAGATGCTTTAGAGACTATTGTGGATCACAACCCAACATTCAAATCTTACATATATCTTTTTTAAGTAAAAATGGTAAAGACATCATTTTAAAAGGATGTAAAAAATGTTTAAAAAATTCTTTTATTCTTCCCACAAAATAATTATTTTTGTGATATAAAGTGAAAATGTAACACCCAATTAGTCTTAAAAATATAGTAACATAATTTGTAAGAAAAAACATTAATAGAAATCCTATTTTATTTAAATTGACTATTTCAAAAAGTTATGATAAAAAATACGAGTGGCATTGAATTATTCTTAAAGTTATTGTAACATGAGCAAAATATAAAAAAAACTTCATTATTATATTATTATATAGAAAAAAGTTTTAAAAAAATAAAGTTTGACCAGTCCACAGGTCCGGACCCAAACCAGGTGGGCCTGACCGGAACCAAATAAGAGATTTTAGATGACCGAAAACCTGGCCAGAAAAGAACCAATCCGGTCCGATTTTGACCAAGTTTCGGGTCGATCCGAGTCCGAACCGATTAAAGCACACCCCTAAGCTCAACTTCTATTATCCCCGCAAGTTGATATCGATAATGAGGGGTAGCTTGAAACACAAGCACTAAAATAGAGTTGGTGGAATTGGATTTGTAAGAACGACAACCATAAGAAGATGCATATAGTTGTCCCATGTTAAATGAGCTTGAGTGTGTTTGATGATTTTTGATTCGACGAGATTTTACAATTAGAGCGAGGACGATAAGTTTCTTTTTCTCCTCTTGGGTCGATTTCTCTACTTCACGGCCACTTCCCATTCTGTCGTCTTGTAGAAGAAAACATAGACAAATACGAGATTCATGTCCTTCGAACGCATACATAATTTTTTAAAAGGGGCACGTACATTACTCTTTTTGGATAGAAAAAAGAAGTGCAACATCAACTTGGCATGCTCATCGAGATTGGTGGTGGCTGTTACGCCTGTTAGGCATGCATGCAGACAATTTTTTGAGGAAAAAATTCTGACTCCGACAATATAATATAATTTGTTAATAATTAGTATTATTGAATTGTAAAGATAATAATAGAGCTTCCTAGCTAAAGTATGGATAATGGATAGTAAATAAACTAGAAAAAGTAAATATGGTAAAAACATAATATGAAAAATTAAAATAGTTTCGTACTTTCCTATTACTCCTCTTAATTTGTACTACTATCTATTACTCATTAAATTTTTTATTTAATTAACGGTAAAATTATGTTGACACTGGCATTCAGTGTCAACAAATGACACTTGCTCATTTGGAGGGAATTGGAGATCCTCTAATGCCCCAAATACAAAATTGATAATTCTTATCCTCTAACCCCCGCCGCACCCTCACCCCAGCCCGACTCTTGCGCCCCCACTTAGACTCTCCGTCAACCCCTCCAGATGTGTAGGAGCACAGGTGTCGGGCTGGGGTTGGATTCGGTGGGAATTTAGGGAGAGAATTATTAGGAACTATCAATTTTACAAATAAAGCACTAGAAGAGCACCAAATGAGCAAGTGTCATTCATTGACACTACATGTCAATGTCAACAGAACCTTGCCGAATTTATAATGGTCAGTTAATGAATAAAAAAGTTGTCAATACTAATCATTTATCAAATTTCTTTCTTCATATGTTCTCCTCTTTGGGATTCTTAGGGAGCATCATTTTCCATTAGCATCATTGTTTGGGACAAGATCTTAACAATATAATTAACCTTGAAAATGTTACCGCGAAATGATGTTTGTTAGTTTTTTTCAAAATATTTTAGTTGTTCCCAAACCCAGCCTTTACCAGACAGATAGAGAGAAGAATATTAAACATTTCAACTAATTAACGTCTTGGTTTAACTAACCCCTTGTGACATATTTCTTCTCTTTTTTTCAGGTTCAACCGCTGCTCGAGTCTTGCCGAAGACCGATCTGTATTGGGTCCCACAAATAACAACATTAACAAATTAGTGGTTCAAATTAATCAAATTCAGAGTTAAAAACACATGACATGTTTGACCACTGTAGATAACTTTAGGAAAGGTTAGGGAATACCAAATACTTCTTCTATTCTAAAAAGACTTTCCTGGTTTGACAGTGTTTTATTTTTAATTCAATTTATTTAAAAAATGGTATAAAATTCAAGAACACTGCCTTTGTTTGAATTAATTGTCCTAGTTTGAGTTCACAGAATTCATAACAAGTGTTGAAAACTAAAAAAATACGGAATAGGTACTTGAAATTTAATCGAAGGAAAGAGAAAAGTTTGTAGATCACATATTCTTTACTTTATTAAAAAAGTAAAGAAATGTGACAATTGGGATAAACTGAAAAAGAGAGTGAGACGATTAATCTAACGAAGGCAAAAATTTACTCCCTCCGTCCCATAATTTTCTTTTTAGTTTCACGATTTTAATAAAGTTATATTTGCTCTATATATAGTTGCGGTTTTTGTGGAGAAAAAAGAAATGATAATAACCACTCAAGTTTTCCCTTAAAAAGAAAGACGATTTTTTTTAGACAACCTAAATAAGAAAGTAAAAAGATAATTACTGGACGGAGAAACATATATTTGAAAACCACGTCAAAGACTCTACAAAGCTAGAGGTGATTGCAATAGCAAAAAACTAGAATCCTCCCATTCATTAATTGGAGGAGATAATTATACATTTTTATCATATGGGCCAGGCCCAACCTTGCCCAGTAAGGCCATGGATAAACCACACAGGCTGCACTACCCTTTTCGAGGGTAGTTGAGACGCACCTTCTTGGTGTTAGGCCCAAAGCCTTGGGCCCTTGCTGTAGGCTCCGAATCTAGGCATGTGCACTATGGACACAGGTGGCATGCCTGATATGTCCATCGAGCCGTGACACAGTTATACTACCTCCATCCCGGAAAATCTTTCCTGTTTTGACTCTTTTTTACCACAAATTAAGCTTAATTTGAATAAATAAATGTTATAAAAATTTGATACATCAAAACTATATCTTAAGATGAATCCAATTATATTGAATTTACAATAATACTAAATATATTTTTCACAATTTGTGATCAAAGAGTCATTGTTTGACCAAAAAAATCAAACCAGAAAAGATTTTCCGGGACGGAGGTAGTATTATTTTATCAAATGTGTAGTGAAAACTGGCAAAGAAACAACTCAATGTTTGACTACGTGAATAGTGAACAAGAGAATTTTGTGGCAGCCAGAGCGAATATAACTCTACCCAAACAAACTGATGACCCAACTTACCCGCATGTGGAACATTGTGTTTGATGCTGGCAGAAAATGGACAAACAAACTGAGCATATATACCCCATGTCAATTGTATTCTTGTGGCAAAAACACCTGCCAAAATGAAGCATTAATAAAATATGGAGTATGTCAAACCAAACATATGAGTATATATCCTACTTGGAAGTAATATCTGAGGGATTCCTAATACTAGTCCAAAATGGAGTAATGGGGGGGCTAGGAAGAAAATGGAGTTAAGCTTTAGAGAAACCAATAAAAAGATGCTAAAAAACATTTCTTGCTGGATGACAATTACGATTGCACAATATGAAGAAAATAAAAAAGCAAGAAGAAATACAGCAACAATAATAAGGAAATGATTGTTATTACATACTACTCCCTCTCTCTGAATGTCCCATAAAAAAACTTCATATTTAATTTATTTCCGATGGAGCCAAAATTTCACCATTTTTTGGCTTTGGAGTGTGATGGAATAAATCAAAATGGATTTCTAAACTATCTGCGCTTCTTTAATTAATGAAGTAGCAGTTAGTCAAGCAATGCGACTTTCAACGTTGAGCCGGGGGTCTCTTTGGAAACAGCCTCTCTACTTACGAGTAGGGGTAAGGTCTGCGTACACACACCCTCCCCAGACCCTACTCTTGTGGGATTCAACTGGGTTGTTGTTGTTGTTGTTGTTTAGGTAATTGAATATGTCGCCTGCAAAATTTCTCTTTTGGACATATTTCAACCGCTCATTGCTTTATGTGCACCACCTTTTACACTAACACCACTTTTTTCACAAAACATTAACCTCATGTGTTTGAGGATATTTTCATATCTATAAGAACAAAATCCGTGTCTTTGCAAACATGGTGTAAAAGGTGGTGTAGTAATTGGTTATTGGTTTAGCAAAGGCATAGGCTCAAACCATTGTATTAACAACTCCAATTTGGTTTATGAATATTGTCCTATCCCAAGTTATTTTTGTATAACTTAATCCTAGTCCATTGATGATTGTTTGTCCTAGTACTAGTTAATATAACATGGACTAGTCACTTGATGATTGTTTATCTTAGTCCTAATTAGTTTAGTATTACTAGTCCTAGTCAGTTTGGGAATATCATAGAGTAGCTTGAGCATATAAACAAGGGGTGACCTCTTTATTTAGGAATACAAAATTTCATCTTTCAACTTAATTCCAATCTTGTTTAGTTGCTAAACCTATCAATTGTTATTTGCTGAACAATTGGTAACAAAGCAGGACGATTCGATCTGGACAAGTGCTACTCCAGAGAAAAGTTTATAGAGACAAGGACTCAACTAGAGACAAACTGAAAAGGGGAACTACTGAGTCTTCTTTTGGACAGGGACCAAAGTGTGGAACTATTTTGCATAAAAAAGGGCTGAGGAACAAAAAGAGTGCCAGAAACAGGAACGAGATAGAGCAGTTGCTAATTGAATTCTAAACCATTCTTGAGGAACCAAATAAGCTAAAACCAGCTAGAATTTATGATCATGAAGAGGGAAAGACTGTCAATGTAGCGCTTCATAAAGATATGCTCACTTTCAGAAGAAAGGCATGTAGAAGAAATTCTCAAAACAGGGGTGATTAGACTGAGTACAAGTCCTTTTTCCTCTCCGCATCTCTTGGTCAAGAAATAGATGGGACATGGAGAGTTTGCAAAGATTATAGGACCTTAAATATGAGAAAGTTAAGGACAAATCTCCTATTCCAACCATAGAATACATGATGAATGAACTGTTTGGCTCAATTTTTTAGCAAACTTGAATTGTGATCTGGATATCACCACATAAGGATTCACGCCATTCAAGATTCACCATTGGGACATCAAAAAGACAGCTTTTACAGCACACAAAGGAACTATGAGTACCTTGTGATATCCTTTGGACTGTGTAATGCCCCTTCAGCATTTCAAGCAGCCGAGAATGATATATTTTGGCCACATCTCACGTAATTCTTATGTCTTAACGGTATTCTTTGATGATATACTAGTATATAGTCCTAGTTGGGGAAAGCATCTCAAGCATTTAAGGAAACTTCTTGATTTTGCAACAAAATCACTTATACTAAAAGAAAGCCAAATGTGTTTTCGGAAAACATGATGTGGGTATTTGGGTCGCTATATCTCAAAGGGTGGAAGTAGAGTAGAAAATAAAAACAAAAAAATTCAAGCAATGATTCAATAGACTAGACAAGCAATTAATACTGAGTTGCAAAGGACCTACGATAAACATGATATTACAGAAAGACATTTTGCAGCACCACTTAATCAACTTTTTGATAAAGCTATTTACTTCATCCGGAATGAGGAAGTTCGCTATTTATGCAGGTTCGTGACTGTTGTCAAAGGATCAAAGAAGATTAAAAAAAGCAGCAGGCGTGCATAACCGATTGTGTGTGTGTGAGAGAGAGAGAGAGACGTGAAAGTGTTTATCGTGTGGCTTGTGTGTGGAAATACACGTACGGGTGTATTTATACTCATAGGGTTCCGTGCTCCGTAATTTAATTAACGTACCTCAATTAAAATACACTTTTTGGAGCAATTTGCTCCAAATTCAAATCCGTTTGCACTGTTAGACTCGTCACGTCGAACCCTACACAACAATATAATTTTTATAATTTATTGACGAATATTTATAATTGACTCCGGGTCCGTCTCAATAATTAATTAATTAGTTTTAATTAATTAAATATTTTTAATTAATTAATTCAGATAGACCGGATTTCGGGGCATTACATTTCTCTCCCCTTAAAATAATTTCGTCCTCAAAATCACCTGAGTCATTGGTCATGAAGAGTTGATGATACTAAACTCGCATGGATTCCTCAGTCTCCCAGATTGCTTCCATATCGTGATTTCTCCTGAGCACATTGACCAAGGGAACAGACTTGTTCCTCAGTTCTTTCACCTCGCGTGCTTATATCTGGACACGCTCTTCTTCATAAGATAGATTCTCAACGAGGGTGACAGCTCCCTCGGGTAAGACAAGGGATAAATCTGAACGATATCTTTTCAACATGGACACGTGGAATACGTTGTGGATCTTATTCAGTTCTGGAGGTAATTCTAGCCGATAGGCTACTGGTCCCACTCGCTCGGTGACTTGATACAGTCCAATGAGCCTATGGCTTAACTTCCCTTCTTTCCAAATCTCAGGACCCTCTTCCAAGGTGAGACCTTCAGGAACACTAAGTTGTCAACATTATATTCAATCTTTCAACGCTTGAGATCGGCGTAGGACTTCTGACGGTTTGAAGCAATCTGCAATCTGTCACGGATCAACCAAATTTTCTCTTCTGTTTCACGAACATGGTCAGGTCATTCGAGCTCGGGCTCGCTCAATTCGGTCCAACAGACCGGGGTTCTACAAAATTCCTCTTCACTTCTCTAAATGTCCCATAAAAAACTTCATGTTTAATTTATTTCCTTTTAGGTAATTGTATATGCCGCCCACAAGATTTCTGTTTTGGACATATTTCAACCGCTCCTCACTTTTCATTTTTCAACACTTTTTTTCTAAATTCTATAAAAGTCAATCTGAGAAGTTTTTTATGGGATGGAGGGAGTACTAGACAAGGAATGATGTAATAAACGTCTGTCAGACTAGACGTCATCTGTGCACCACCTTTTACACTAACCCCACTTTTTTCACAAAAAACATCAACCTCATCTGTTTGCAAAGGATATCTATGAGAATAAAACCTGTGTCTTTGCGAACGTGGTGTAAAAGGTGGTTTACCAGTTCGTTATTGGTTTACCAAAGGTAAAGGCTCAAACCATTCTATTAGCAACTCTTATTTGGTTTATGATTGTTATCCTATCCCAAGTTAATTTTGTATTACTTAGTCTATGTCCATTTATGATTGTTTGTCCTAGTACTAGTTAGCATTACATGGACTAGTCACTTGATGACTGTTTGTCATAGTCCTACTTAGTTTAGTACTACTAATCCTAGTCAGTTTGGGAATATCATAGAGTAGCTTGAGCATATAAATAAGGGGTGACCTCTTTTTTAGGAACACAATTTCATCTTTCAACTTAAGTGCAATCTCGCTTAATTGCCAAACCTATGAACTGTTATTTGATGAAATTTCGTTCTTGAGGAACCAAATGAGCTACAACTAGCTAGAATTTATGGTCATGAAATTCATCTGAAAGAAGAGGGAAAGACTAACAATGTAGCTTCATACAGATATGCTCACTTTAAGAAGAATGAGATTGAAAGGCATGTTGAAGAAATACTCAAAACAGGGCTGATTAGAGTGAGTACAAGTCTTTTTTTCACATCCAGTTCTCTTGGACAAGAAAAAAGATGGGACATGGAGATTTTGTAATGATTAAATATAGAGACAGTTAAGGACAGATTTCCAATTTTAACCACAGAAGACATTATGGATGAACTGTTTCGTGCTTAATTTTTTTAGCAAACTTGATTTGACAAGTTAAAAAATATGGTCATTTACTTCATTTAGGCAATTGCTCTACTGCTAAGGATGTAGCAGTAGTTTTTGCTAAAAAGGTTATCAAACTACGTGTAATTCCAAAGTCAATAACTTCTTAAACTTAAAGAGATAAAGTGTTTATGAGCTACTTTTGGAAACAAATCTTCAAGCTTGTACAGAACTTAAAACCTACTCAGCATATCACCAAGAAACAGATGGCCAAACGCCCAAACTGTAGTAAACAAAAATGTTTTGCTTCCTATAGCCCAAAATAGTGGGAGCCATTTCTAATGTGGTCTGAGTACTGGTATATACCACTTACCATACCTCCACTGGCTTTAACTCAATTCGCAAGGAATCTCCACATGCAAAAGGTTAAAAAATGTTTGAAGGCTAGAGATTCCGGTCTGCGGGAGTTAAGAGACCAATTAGCTACCCAAACTCCAATGACCAGACTCCAGGTTCCACATCCAAAATCTAGAATTTCTTCTTTTAATATATTCGTTAAGATTTTAATTTTATATGATAAGATATTTTTGGCCAAACAAATACTATGTATATTGATATTTAATTACATCCTCCGGCCCAAAACACTTTACCCAATAAGACTTTCCGAGAGTTTACAAAACATGTTAAAATATGGAAAAGGCAAGGTTAGAATTTGTTTAGACGAGAGACATGTTAGATATAATCGGGTTTGTTCACATATAACCAAATGGGTAATGAGTCAATGTTCGGGTCAGTTAGTATAGAGTCAATTAGTGTGGTGTCGTTTAGTGTGTTTTACATATTTAATTAATTAAAAAAACAGTGGGTAGTTTCTAAAAGAGGCAGTTATGGGTAGTTTCTATTGTTAATAGGTGTGTTGGTTTGTAATAGTTGTGTTGGTTAGTAAAAGTCATGTTCGTCTGTTCTCTATTTATACTTAGAGAACACAAATAATCCTGTAACAGTTTTACATCAATAAAATATTCTACTTTGATTTGATTTGGTCGGTTGGTCCTGTCTAACAATTGGTATCAGATCAAAAATCCAATAAGGACCCAACGATCAAAGGGAGTGGTCTAACTTGTAATCAGGAGTTGTATGATCGGGAGTAGAAGGGCTGCCAGATCATAATACAAAGTGTTAGACTTCCTCGACAACAGATCAAAAATCTTTGACAAGATTCTTCCTCGCCTAGGACAAAAATAGTAGGGGGCTAGTTTTTCCCTTTGGCAGAAGCATTCCATCCAAACAGTGCAGGGAAAAACGAATCAGCGGGGTAGCTTTCGTTTAGTGGCTTGGAAGACGGAAAAGCAAGGGCTTGTTTTCTGGTTGATGGTGGATTGCAGGTGGCTTACGACCCGGGAAGGAATCGAAGTTAAGAATGTTGTGAAAATTGTCGAAGGAATAAAAGTCGTGCAATGGGAGAACAACAAAAATAGACAGATTGTGACTACAAGGGAGAATAGTTAACAGTTTGCCAACCTTAACCCGAGGAAGAAGATATGCAAGGTAAACTACTATTCACTAAAAGTGATGGAAAAGAGAACGCTAAGGAGCACAAAACTGAGCATTGTGGTTGCTGGAGCTCAAACCGAGAAGACTTTGGACGTGGCCGAGGTAGAGGTCGGGGGTCAGGGAAAAGTCGGGATGGTGGACAGTTTCAGCGGGAAAAGAGTCACATTAGGTGCTTCAAGTGCAATGAGTTAGGGCATTTTTTGAACGAATGTCCAAAATGGGATCAAGAGGAACACATTGCAAATTTGATTAAAGATGATGATGAACCAACATTGCTGTGAAGATCAGTGTGAACAAACAACGATTAAGGGCATGATTGTTAGATATAATCGGGTTTGTTCACATATAACCAAATGGGTAATGAGTCAATGTTCGGGTCAGTTAGTATAGAGTCAATTAGTGTGGTGTCGTTTAGTGTGTTTTACATATTTAATTAATTAAAAAAACAGTGGGTAGTTTCTAAAAGGCAGTTATGGGTAGTTTCTATTGTTAATAGGTGTGTTGGTTTGTAATAGTTGTGTTGGTTAGTAAAAGTCATGTTGGTCTGTTCTCTATTTATA